GTGTCAATCTGTACATCATTTTTGGGATAAGATCTGATTTTTTAAAATTAAAAATTAAAATATTTATTAAAATATTTATTACTTGAGACATCTTAGTTCCCTTCCTAGGAAATGTACCTAATGAAATTATCAGAAATATGGACAAAATTTATTCAAAAACACATTCACTGAAGTATTATTTATACTAATCAAAAATTAGAGAAAGGAATGATGGGTTGGAGCCTGTTTTGAATTAGAGTATTATACACACATTAAAATAACGTTTACTTATGTAATGTCACAGAGAAATGTCACAATTTCCTGTTAAACAAGCAAAACCACAATGCAACTTTTCAATCTTTTTTATAGCAATCACGTAAACAAAATAACCTGTTAACAGTCATGCATTTAGCTGCCTTCTAGTAAGTACGGCAACTGGTGATATTTTTTCCACTTTAAACTTTTCTGTAGTTTTCACTCTTCTATAACAAGCACATATTACCCTGATAATCAAAGAGATAAGAAGAAATAAAATTAAAAACTTTAACTAAATTGAGTTAAAAGTGGTGACTCAAGGCCACCCAAGCTTGTAAGCTGCATCCCTAGCTAAAATAAAAGAGGAGGGGCCTTAAGTGAAAACATGCATTGGTGAGGTTTTTAGTAACTTAGTTGATACCCCAATTCTGCTTTATAAATGTGTTTATTTTCAGAATGTAAAAATTATAGCAAAGAAATAATGATGAAGACTACAAGTGAGATTCGGTTGGCAGAAATGTTTCAAATGTTTCTTTAGCATTGAGCCCATTACACTCCCCAGGTGACTATCCAAAATAAAAGCTACCTTCAAGGGATTAACTGATACAAATAGTGCCTTTCTGGGTTCTTGTTACAGTAAGAGCAGAGTTCACCAAGGAACAAATTACACTTACTTGCCTGTTTTACTATGCAAATTGAAAGAGATACTTGAGGTCTTTAATTCCATCTAACCTAAATCCTGACATGAATAACTATTATTGGCCACCAAAAAATAACCAATCAAAGTGCCCCTGTTTTTAAGTATCCTGACAAAGGAAGCTGAACCTAAAAATGTAGGAGTGAAAGAGAATTCATAAAAGGAAAAGCAGAAGGCACACGACACTCTTCTTATGACTTTGAAACACTTATTTACTACTCACATACTAGGGGAGATCTCTGTTTAAATCTCTTGCATATTTCAAGCGTAATTTCGTTTAAGCAAAATTCCCCTGCCATAGCTTATTTGCCACAGAACTGATCAGGATAATTTTTTTAAAAAAAAGAATGTTTATTCATTCCATCAATATCTCAGTGACAAGACACTTTACAACTACATTGCTATTACTAAAAATGTCTTTAATATTATCACTCAATACCCAAAATTTCCCCCTGCTTCTTTTTTAACCCCTCAATGGTAGCAATACCTAATTTGTGTGGATCAGTAAGACACCGACCAGGCACAGTGACTCACGCCTGTAATCCCAGCACTTTGAGAGGCCGAGGTGGGCAAATCACGAGGTCAGGAGTTCGAGACCAACCTGACCAACATGGTGAAACTCTGTCTCTACTAAAAACTCAAAAATTATCTGAGCATGGTGGCATGTGTCTGTAATCACAGCTACTCAGGAGGCTGAGGCAGGAGAATAACTTGAACCTCAGGGGTGGAGGTTGCAGTGAGCCAAGATCATGCCATTGCATGCCAGCTGGGCAAACAACCGAGACTCCGTCTCAAAAAAAAAAAAAAAAAAAAAAAAAACCCACCAGTAAATTTGTTCTTGAGTTTGGGGAATTCTTAATGAAAATTCCAAGAAACAGTAATTTCTAGGAAGTTCATGAAGTTAAGGGGTAAGTTTCAGTTTATAAATAATTACTGTCAAAGAACATGATTTCCGTGTTTTCTCTTTGAATTTATAGTTATTTTATTTTCTCATACTAAAAATGATGGAAAAATAAAGAAACTACCTTTTTCCTCTTAGAGTTCTTATAAAATGTTTCGATTTCCTTAAACTCTTTTACTTATTTTACTGTTTATCTTGATCTAGTATACATGCTACAGAATTCTATCTGAGGATGTTAATTAGAAATTATAACTGGAAGTGAAAATAAAATGTATAGATTCACTTTACCAGTAAGAAGCCAGATGCTTAGATTTATTTCTGTGCTTTAATGCCACACATGCCCCATAATGAAGTTTCAGTCAATGATAGACTGCATATACAATGAGGTGGTCCCATAAGATTATAATGGAGCTGAAAAATTCCTAGCACCTGGAGACAAAGATGTCTGTATTAGTCCATTCTCATATTGCTATAAAAAACTACCTGAGACTGGGTAATTTATAAAGAAAAAAACAATGTTTAATTGACTCACAGTTCTACAGGCTATACAGGAAGCATGACTGGGGAGGCCTCAGGAAACAAAATCACGGCAGAAGGTGAAGGGGAAGCAGGCATGTCTTACATGGTCAGAGCAGGAAGAAGAGAGAGCAGCGGGAGGTGCTACACACTTTTAGACAACCAAATCTCATAAGAACTCATTATCATGAGAACAGCAAGGAGGAAGTTTCTCCCCGTGATGCAATTACCTCCCACCAGCCCCCTCCTCCAACAATGGAGACACAAATCCAAACCACAATGACCTCATAACGTCATAACACAGTGCATTGCTCAATTTATGGTGATGCTAGTGGAAACACACTTACTGTGCTGCCAGTCAAATAAAAGTATAACATAAAATTATATACAGTACATAACACGATTATAACTATGTTGCTGGTTTATGTATTTATTATACTATACTTTTTTAATCATTATGTGTGGTGTATTCCTTTTACTTATATTTTCTTAAAAGTTAACTTTTACACTGTTGGTGGGACTGTAAACTAGTTCAACTATTGTGGAAGACAGTGTGGCGATTCCTCAAGGATATAGAACTAGAAATACCATTTGACCCAGCCATCCCATTACTGGGTATATACCCAAAGGATTATAAGTCATACTGCTATAAAGACACATGCACATGTAGGTTTATTGTGGCACTACTCACAATAGCAAAGACTTGGAACCAACCCGAATGTCCATCAGTGATAGACTGGATTAAGAAAATGTGGCACATATACACCACGGAATACTATGCAGCCATAAAAAAGAATGAGTTCATGTCCTTTGTAGGGACATGGATGAAGCTGGAAACCATCATTCTCATCAAACTATCACAAGGACAATAAAAACAAACACCGCATGTTTTCACTCATAGGTGGGAATTGAACAATGAGAACACTTGGACACAGGAAGGGGAACATCACATACCGGGGCCTGACATGGGGTGGGGGGAGGGAGGAGGCATAGCATTAGGAGGTTTACCTAATGTAAATGATGAGTTAATGGCTGCAGCACACCGACATGGCGCATGTATACATATGTAACAAACCTGCATGCTGTGCACATGTACCCTAGAACTTAAAGTATAATAACAAAAAAATTATATTAAAAAAAGTTAACTGTAAAACAGCCTCAGGAAGTTCCTTCCAGAGATATTCCAGAAAGAGGGCATTGACATTATAGGAGATAACATCTCCATGTGTGTTACTGACCCTGGAGACCTTCCAGTGAGATAAGATGTGGAGGAGAAAGACAGTGATGTTGATGATACTGACTCTGTGTAGACCTAGGCTAATGTGTGGGTTTATGTCTTAGTTTTTAACAAAAAAGTTTAAAAAGTAAAAATTAAAAAATTTTAAAAACAGGAAAAAGCTTACAGAATAAGGATATAAAGCAAAACATTTTTGTACAGCTGTATAATATGTTTGTGTTTTAAGTTGTGTTATTACAAAAGTCAAAAAGTTAAAGAAAATGTTTGTTTCTTAACCTTAAAAAGTTATAATCTAAAGTGAATTTATTATTAAAAGAAGAAAAATATTTTAATAAATTTTGCATGTCCTAAGTGTACAGTGTTTATAAAGTCTACAGTAGTGTCAAGTAATGTCCTAGGCCTTCACATTCACCCACCACTCACTCACGGAATCAACCAGAGCAACTTCCAGTATTGTAAACTTTATTTATCCTAAGTGTCCTATGCAGGTATATATTTTTTTATCTTTTATACCGTATTTTTACTGTATCTTTTCTATGTTTAGATACACAAATACCATTGTGTTACAATAGCCTACAGTATTCAGTATAGTAACATGCTGTACAGGTTTGTAGCTTAGAACCAATTGGCTATACCATATAGACTGGACATGTATAGGCTATACCATCTTGGTTTGTGTCAGTACAGCCAAGGATGTTCCCACAACAGAATTGTACAACGATACATTTCTTAGAACATATCTCCATCATCAAGTTATACCTTACTATATTTTGTTAGTTATCGAGACTGAACTTCACCTTACATTTCTCTAAAATACTCCTCAAAAGTCTCAATTAGTCTTTTAAAAACTCTAACCTACATTACCTTCTAATATCGTTACATTAGTAAACTCATTCAAAAATTACATGGTTTGATTACATTTATTATTTAATTTGAAGCACCCAAGTTCTTTCAAAATTAATCCAGTAATATACAGAAAGTGATACGCACAATTCTGTCATTTTATATGCCTAGAATTGACAAACTATGACCCAAAGGCCAACCCTCATCTGCTGCCTGTTTTTGTAAATAGTTCCGGTAAGACACAGCCATGCCCATGAAGACACAGCCATGCCCATGCACGATGATGGCTGCTTTCAAGCAATAGGGCAGAGTGATCATTTGACTCACAAAGCATATAATATTTACTAAGTGGCTCTTTTCAGAAAAAAAATTATGTGCAATATTCTGTGCCCTCAAATATATGCTTTAAGCATGCAATAACAAACGGTATATTTTTTAAACCAAGATGCTCATTTTAAAAGTTCTGGGTATATATAACGTCACCTGTTTTGCCACATCTTCCTTATTATTAGTTATGCTATTACATAAAAGTATCTATATTGCCATGATACAATTTTTAAAACTTTACTTACTCGATTTTATATGGGCTGGTTATCTGCTAACATTGATTTCTGTGCTCCGTATGATGTCACCATCGTGGAACATGATGGAACACTGCTCCAAAGAGCCACATGGCCATATATTGGAATGGATTCTGTAAGAGTCAAAGGTAGGGATAAAAGGATTAATAATTATATATTGAGTAATCCTCCCTTCCTCAGATTTATGGTTACCTACATACCTGATCATGCTATAAAAAAACAGGAAGACTCATATGGAGAAAACTACATAAGTCAAGACTGAACTTCTTAGGGAAATCTTTTCTATAATCCTCAGAGTTCCCCATAATTTAACTCATGTCCTTGCTGACTAGAACTAACTACATCATTTTGGAGAAAAAAATATCATATGTCATTTTGGAGAAAAAAAATCATATATCATTTTTTAAAATCTATAATGCTTCATATAGCTCTTTAGTAAAATGTTTTTCTCTTTATCACAAAATATCACAAAGCACATGTGATGTCAAATGTATTTGTTTGATATCAAGTTACTGACTAAGTCTAAAGAAGGTGTTGAAAATAAGTTGTAAACGTTTATTCTAAAAGTCAAGTGGCAAAGTCTCCACTCAAATACGAAGTAGTAAACCACAACATCACAATATAGTATAATACTTTTAAGGTATATGAGATTTGAGGGGGGTATAAGCATGTCAACAGACTATATGATTGGAAAACCTAAAAATAGTATAACTTTTGTTTTTATAAGGGTAATCCAACTTCTTATGCCATTTTAAAAAGTAAAGTAGTATAACTTTTATTTTATAAAATAAATTAAGAAACATCTTAACCAAATTTCAGTATGATCCAAGAATCCTTATGAAGCTTTGTGTTGAAGAAAAAGATTAAGGTTTTTTAGAAAAACTTACATTCAGTTTAAAAGTTGATCCTACACCCATACAGCCACCAATCTTAAAATTGCTTCTTCTTTTTTTTTTCCTTTTTGTTTGCTTCTCTGCATCATATTTGTATAATACCCACCGCTTTAAATTTGATTTCACTTCCCATTTCCTTATCCAAAAAGAACATTTTCTTTTTCTTGGATATATTTTCCATTATCTTTATGAACCTTCATCAACTCTACCAGGCACACTTAAGAGAGGCCCATTCCCTGAGCCCTTTTCCCTCTCCTGCCAGGAAACAAGCTTCCATCAATAACAACCACAATTGACGAATCCTGCAGGAGTATGAGAATGAAATTCGCAAGTACCATAAAAGACATAGGATGCGCATTTAGACCCATCTGATTCCCAAACGGATGGTCCTTGAGAAATTGCTATCGCTGTTTATCTACACCTGTTTGCTTCCTGAGCTTCTAAAAGGAGAATAAATAAGAGCTTCTAAGAATGTGCTTTAAAGTTAGTTATGCTCCTCTCTCCTTTACACCTCATGCCAGTATATTCCTTCAATTTTATCAATATGGGCCAATGTTCCTAGGAAAATAGCAGGCTAGCTTCTTCAGCAAACACCTAACAAGAGGTAACCAAAATATCTTTAAAATAAAAAGCTCTAATTCAACTCTCTTATTCAATTTTGCCCCAAGAGTCTGCCCCAAGTTAATGAACATATACTTGAAAGCATTATAACAATGCATGTTTTTTCCATAACTGCACAGCAGAAATATTAAAAAATTAGGGCTTATCTATCCACATTATTGGCCTCTATATGGCCAAGTATGTCTTTGGGAAAACTTATTTCTGACCTTAGAATTTAATTCACACATACTGAAATGGAAATGGATGCAAAGAATGTTATAAACTCTAAAGAACTTTCAGTTCAGTATACATATTTCATACAGCAAGAAACTGAGTCCCAGGAGACCGAATGACTTGCTGTGACCAGCAAGATATTCTAGGAACTGATAAGCATCTCCTTTAAAAATTTGAAGATTCTATACAGAGTTGTAGTGAACAATGAAATTCATTGTTCCAGTTGATAGCTCACAGCTGAGCCCCTCCTGAGAAATGCTTCCAATGGAAGAAAGCTGTCTAGCATCAGGGAGTGGCTCTCCCTTCCAGGAATCTGGCCTGCTTCCCTTCCAGAGTTGGAATATCTCCAAAGGGACATCCTGCCTCTAGAAGGCTCCCCATGGGATCCTGTGAGGCCACTGTTGCAACTGCATCACAGTCCAACTTCTCCCTCTGCCCACCCTGTTTTGATCTGCCCTCACTTCCATCAGGTGTTGTTCTTTAGAACATGCCCCAGTAAGCCTCTCACATGAACATTTCTATCTCAGTCTGCTTCCCAGGAACCTGACCCAAAACAATAGTGTATTCTGTTCCTTGAGAAAATGTGAGGTTGGGAAACACTTGGATTACATCAAAGCAGATTATTGCAAGATTTCTTTTAATTTGACAGTGTACACTACGAAACACCAACAAATACCCAGAGTTAACCAAAGTTATTGAACTATAGAACCCTTTTGGATATTGAACATCTCATGAGACTTGTGTTCTGTGGAATACGGTTTGGGAAACAGGAATACGGTCACTCTAGCTCACTTTAGAATATAAGTATTGAAATTACTCATGTGAATATTTTCTGTAATAGCAAAGAATGGAAAAAACCTAAATGTCCATCAGTAGGGGACTGTTTAAGTAAATTATAATACATGCATGCAATGTAATATAATGCATCCATAGAAAAGAATGGGAAGTTTTTTTAATACTAGCATGAAAATATATCCAAGGTGTATTTTTTAAGTAAAAAGAACAAGGTAACTCAACAGTGTTTATTTGGTTTCAGAAAGGGGGATGGTTAAATACATATGTGCATTTTTGTGTGTCTGCACAAAACATTACACTAGAAAATGACAGCACTGGTTGCACCTATAGAAGGGAATTGGAAGGCACTTTGAACTTTTTGAAGTTTAAACCATGGGAATGTATTATCTATTCATAAAATTAAAATCAAAATACCACAAAATATTATATAGCACAGATTTAAATACTTTGTCTAATCATTTATGAAGAAAATTTGGGAAAAGAACTATGACATTCTCTATAAAGCTACTTAGACGATGAACTCTTGGAAGACAAAATTCATTTAGAATGCCCAAAGCATGACACAGTTTCTGAACCAAAGGAGACTGTAAATAATTTTTTTAATTGAATTCTGTTACCTCCAATGCAGCAGCAATGTAAGATAGTACCCCTGCTGTTGTTGTTGTTTTTTGGTTTTGGTTTTTGTTTTTTTTACAATGTCTGAGAAACTCTAGAAATGGAGAAAAACTAGACCTTACATGAATATACTTTCCTGGACTGGGTTTCCTGTGATTAGCCTGTAGTTAGCAACATTTTAAAGTCTCCGGACCTGTGTTGTTGATCACAGTAGCCATTAACCACATGTGGCTATTTAAATTTATCTGTAAATTAACTAAAATAAAACTAGAAATTCACTTTCTCACTTGAGCCAGACACACAGCAAGTATTCAAAAACCACATGTGGTAAATGGCTACGATTTTGAAAACAGAAGACAGAACATTTTCACTGCAGAAAGCTCTGTGGGACAGAATAGATCCAGGTATAGACTTTGGTTTCAGACAAATCTGGGTTTGAAATCTGAATTAGCCCCTTACTAAGTGTAAGGTTTGGGACAAATTAATTTCTCAGAATCTCACTTTTTTTTTTTTTTTTTTGAGATGGAACCTTGCTCTGTCACCCACGCTGGAGTGCAATGGCACAAAAATTTTGCTCACTACAACATCCACCTCCCAGGTTCAAGCGATTCTTGTGCCTCAGCCTCCCAAACAGCTGGGATTACAGGTGTGTGCCACCACACCTGGCAAATTTTTGTATTTTTAGCAGAGACGGGGTTTCACCATGTTGGCCAGGCTAGTCTCAAACTCCTAACCTCAAGTGATCTGTCCACCTTGGCCTCCCAAAGTGCTGGGATTACAGGTGTGAGCCACCGTGCCTGGCCTCAAGAGCCACACTTTTTTCATCTGTAGAATGGGGAAAATGGCAATTGTGAGGTGTAAGTGAGCTCATTCATAAAAGCTGCGTAGAACAGGCCTTGACAAACAGTGAACACTCAAAACTGTCACCTCTTATTAGCAATTATCCAACACTGTGAATGTCACAGCTAACCACCAACCAGTCACCTCATCTATCACAATTATCCTACTCACCCTTCTCACAGGAAGATAAAAAGTATCCACTAACATCCCTATAGTCTAGTTCATTAAAGTGCCAGTTTGCAATTAATAAAGCTTGCCCTAATTTCTTTTTCAGGAAAGTCTTGCTATGAGAAAAAAAAAGTCACGTGAAGTAAACCTGTGTTAGTGATGTGGCTAGTTTATATTCTGGTACAAGCTCTTTATCAGGTCAAATACTAGCAACAAACATTTTTATATTTGGATGGTAGTGGTCTTACTGGGAAGACATACTCCTTGATATGATTTGAACATTTTCACAAAAAGGAAGGCTGTCATATTTTGCCATGAAAAGGGCAAAGCCTAGTACAGTAGCACTGAAGAGGCAGAGACAAACTGAGGTAGTCAAGGTGAGGTTTCTACAGCTGGTAAATTTGAGCAAAGTTTTGAAAACATAAAAACCATGATGGGGAAAGAAAGATAAGTAAAGAAGAATGATAAAGAAATAATACCAAGACAAAGGAAAGGGTAAGAAGGAACAGAAGCCTTATAGCTTTAACCCTTCAAGAATAACGAAATATTTTCCTTCCATTCCATAGGCCAAGGCATTCTCTTTTAGTTGTAGCTTCCAACAACAGAATTTGTTAGGCCTGAATTTAGTAGTGGTCAATTTTGGCCTCTCAAGTACCATTATTATATAGTAGAAATTATATTTTATTTATATCATATATATTAATTACATATGACTATATATGTATGTCATACTTTTAAACTCTAAAAATAGATATAGAAAGCTATTTTGATGGTTTTCTGAACAGTTCCAGCATTTGCAGTTAAAGATAAATAAGTCCAGACAATAGAAAGTTCCCAGAAGTGCTTTTAAAATTAATGTCCTTCTTCTGAATTCTTCAGGTATTTATATAAAAAGATTTGCATTAGAATTATCCTTCATCATAAAAATCAGCCAATTATTACTAAACAATTTTCCAGTGGTGCCTCTT